TGGGAGAGAACTGGCTTGACCGCGTCTCTGCTGCTGCTCTATCTCCCTTCCTCCCCTCCCCCTCCCCCTCCCCACCGCCTTCTTTGGGTTGGAGGAAGGGAGGAACAGAGGGAGGGAGGAAGGAAAGAAGGTAGAAGGGAGAGAAAGAAGAAGGGGGAGGGAAGAACAGAATGAGGGGAGGAGGAAGAATGGGAGGGAAGGAGGGCAGTAGATAGTTAGGTAAGGCGGAAGGAGGGAGGGAGGGAAGGGTGAAGGAAGTAATTAAGGAAGGAGAACTAAAGGGAAGGAAGTTGGGATGTGGACAGTTAGGTAGGGCGGAAGAAGGAAAAGGAAGGAAGGAAGGAGAGAGTTAAGAGGAGGAGGAAGGAGAGGGGGCGAGAGGGTACGGCCACAACACGTTATATAATGCCAGCAGAGTTGCAGCGATGGATAATATATTTTTCCTGGTTTTGACCCCGCGGGCACACGCGACTATCTTCTCTCTCTTCTCTCTGTTTCCTGGATTTCTAACCTGATCTAGTTGTGTACGCATAGGAAAACGCACACAGGAGTCTCGGGTGCGTACACGGGCCTGCATATGCCTAACCTATCGTGTGTGCGTAGGGGAGAAACACGTGTGTGTTTAGCGAGGATCTGGGAGCGAATGCGACAGTTTTTGTGGTGGGTTTTCCTTCAACGTGTCATCGAGGTTAAACTTTCCTCTACCTTTCCTCTCTCTCTCTCTCTTTCTTTCTCTCTTTCTCTCTTCTCTCTCTCTCTTCTCTCTCTCTCTCTCTCTCTCTCTCTTCTCTCTCTCTCTCTCTTCTCTCTTCTCTCTCTCTCTCTCTCTCTCTCTCCTCTTCTCTCTCTCTCTCTATCTCTTTTCTCCTCTACACCTTCCCATCCTCTCCCATCCCCCCCCTCTCTCCCCTTCCCCGGGCCAATTACCCTCTCGCCCCTCCCCCAGGCGCCATTACACACTTTTCCTTTCATTTAAGGCCATTTTTTTCTATTTTTAACATCGCGCGCCCGGCCTAACCTCGTGCTCTCGGCGGGCGGTGAAATTCTGCCCCCTCCCCCCCTCTCCCCCTTACTCAAAAAAAGAGAAAAAAAGAAATAAAATAACAAAGACAAGAGAGAAAGATGATGGCAATAAACAATGATAAACAGAAATGAAAGGAAAGAAAAATAGAGATAGTAACGGTCTTTTGAAATGCTTGCTAACCTAGGTGTCACAGTAACGGTCTTTTGAAATGCCGGCTAACTTACGAATCACGGTTATCTAGGCCTCTCAATCAAACAGATAGGCCTTTTCCGATATCTGTATCTACCTATCAGTCAATTTGCAGAAACACTATACTTTAATCTCTAATTTTATCTACCTATCCTTGTCTGCAAACGGAGGGTTCTGTTTTTATTGATCCAAATGATTTTATTTAAAACAAATGTCTGTATACCGTATATACATAAATGCATACGTATATATAATTATATGTATATATAAATATATATATGTATATATATGTATGTATGTATGTATGTATATATACATGTATAATATATTGTACATATATATACATACATACATACATATATATATATATATATATATATATATATATAATATATGCATATATATACATATATTATGGATATATACATATATGTGTGTGTGTGTATGTGTGTGTGTGTGTGTGTGTGTGTGTGTGTGTGTGTGGTGTGTTGTGTGTTGTGTGTGTGGTGTGTGTGTGTGTGTGTGTTGTGTGTGCGTATGTGTGTGTGTGCGTGTGGTGTGTGTGTGTGTGTGCATGTGTGTGAGTGAGTGTGTGTATGTATGTATATGTATATATATATATAATATATATATATATATATATAATATATATATATATATAGAGAGAGAGGAGAGAGAGAGAGAGAAGAGAGAGAGAGAGAGAGAGACACACACATACACACACACACACACACACACACACACACACACACACACACACACACACACACACCACACACACACACACACACACACACACACACACACACACACACACACACACACACACACACACACACACACACACACACACACACACACACACACACACACACACACACACACACAAGCAGGCCGTGCGCGGGGTTGAACGCAGGTCAGCAGGTTGCTAGACCAACACGCTACGCTATCGAGAGAGAGAGAGAGAGAGAGAGAGAGAGAGAGAGAGAGAGAGAGAGAGAGAGAGAGAGAGAGAGAGAGAGAGAGAGAGAGAGAGAGAGAGAGAGAGAGAGAGAGAGAGAGAGAGAGAGAGAGAGAGCGAGAGAGAGAGAGAGAGAGAGAGAGAGAGAGAGAGAGAGGGAGGGAGGGAGGAGGAGGGGGGAGGGAGAGAGAGAGAGAGAGAGAGAGAGAGAGAGAGAGAGAGAGAGAGAGAGAGAGAGAGAGAGAGAGGCTGTTATCAGCTTCCGCGATCAGCACAGGCAGGTTATCATTTCAGCATCTTTTCAGTTATCTGTTAAGATTACAATTATCTGTTATTTATGTTAGCGTACTACCTTACTTGGGTTTTCAATAAGATCTTCCTGTTCATACACATATCAATACACACACACATACAAACACACGTCTTTTCTCTTTCCTTCTGTCCTCTTCCTTCTCTCTCTCCTTTGCTCTACTGTCTATTTGTCTGTCTGTCTCTCTCTTTCTTCCTCTTCTCTCCTCTCCTTCTCTCTCTATCTCCTCCCTCCCTCTCTCTCTCTCTCTCTCTCTCTCTCTCTCTCTCTCTCTCTCTCTCTCTCTCTCTCTCTCTCTCTCTCTCTCTCTCTCTCTCTTTCTCTCTCTACTCTCTCTATTTCACCTTTCTCTCTCTCTCTCTCTCTCTCTCTCTCTCTCTCTCTTCTCTCTCTCTCTCTCTCTCTCTCTCTCTCTCTCTCTCTCTCTCTCTCTCTCTCTCTCTCTCTTCTCTTTCTCTCTCTACCCTCTCTCTATTTCTTTCTCTCTCTCTCTCTCTCTCTCTCTTCTCTCTCTCTCTCTCTCTCTCTCTCTCTCTCTCTCTCTCTCTCTCTCTCTCTCTCTCTCTCTCTCTCTCTCTCTCTCTCTTCACCTTTTCTCTGCCAGTCTTCCTGGACTTTGGATCTCAAACCCTTTCATTTTCCCTTTTCAGCCGAAAAAAGTAAAGTATTCTAACATAACCACAATGCATTTTACGATGATACACATCTACCATAACCATAATACCTTATGATATATATCGAAATGCATCTTATTTCACCTCAGAGCCACGTATCTCCCAGGACATTCCAGACATTGACATTTATCTTTAGTGACGATAGATGACACATATTATCGAGTGTCTTGAGTCATCGCTGTCTGGCAGTGAGAGGAGAGACACTTGGTTAGAAGAGGCTGCAAGTGTCGTGGAAATTTTACCACCAAAATGAGGACAGTCGAGTGGTCGGGAGGGGAGGGGAGGGAGGTAGGGAGGGGAGGGAGGGAGGGGTAGGTAGGAGGGAGGGAGGGAAAGGTAGGTAGGAGGGGAGGGAGGTAGGGGAGGAGGAGGGATGGGTAGGTAGGAGGGGAGGGAGGGAAGGGGAGGGGAGGTAGGTAGGAGGAGGGAGGGATGGGGTAGGAGGGGAGGGAGGGATGGCAGGTAGGAGGGGAGGGAGGGATGGGCAGGTAGGAGGGAGGGAGGGATGGGCAGGTAGGAGGGGAGGAGAGGGTGGGTAGGGAGGAGGGAGGGAGGGAGGGGTAGGTAGGAGGGGAGGGAGGGATGGCAGGTAGGAGGGGGGGAGGGAGGGGTAGGGGAGGGGGGGATGTAGGAGGGGAGGGAGGGGAGGGAGGGAGGGAGGGGGGGAGGAGGGAGGGGTGGGTAGGTGATGAGGGGAGGTGGGATGAGGGGGGGGGATGCAAGTGTTTATTAATTACACAAGTGTAGGAAGACTCTCGGCTTCTTTCTGGGTCTCTCTCTCTCTCTCTCTCTCTCTCTCTCTATCTGTCTCTTTCATCTTCTTTTTCTCTTTCTTTTTCCCTCTCTCTCTTTCTCTATTTCCCTCTTTCTCTCTCTGTCTGTCTCTCTTTCTCTCTGTTTCCCTTACTCTCTCTCTCTCTCTGCCTCTCTTACTCTCCCTTTGTTTCTCTGTCACTCTTTCTTTGTCTCTCTCTCTCTCTCTCTCTTCTGCTCCCACTCTCCTTCTCTCTCCCAATCTCCCTTTCACTCATCCACTCACTCCTCATCTTTCTGTTTCCGTCTCTCTCATTTTCCTTCTTCTCCCCCCCCCTCCCACTCTTCTCCTTCCTTATCTCTCCACAGAAATCCCATGGGAGGGAGAGGGGATAATACAAAATTTAGATAAAGATTCCACCAGCTTTGACAAGGAAGAGAAAGAATTTTCCTTACTCAATCAGATAAAGATTTCCAGGAAAAAACAAACAAACAAACAAACTCATTAAGGTTAAAGTTCGCCGGTAAAAAACAAATAAATGAGTTAAAGATCAAGGTCATGTAACAATATTCCACTAGGGATGAAAGACAATACTGTAATTGTAGAAAGGTATGAGAGAGAATGAATATCTTCAAAAATATTCATTCTCATTCATACCTTTCTACATTTGTCAACATGAATACGGTTCATAATACTATGTTTGATTTGTTTGGGGATATATACACTTCTCATAATTATTTCATAACCATACGATTTTTTCTTCTTATCAAGCCGGTTTTTTGTCACGCGGGTGGTCAACGGTAGATGGTAGATAAATTGATAAATAAATGGATGAATGAATGGAAATAGATAATGGAAAGATAGATAAGTAAAGAAATGAGTAAATAACCGAATATGAAATCAAAATAATTATACTTGGTATTCATAGACATCCTTATTGCATTTCTGATTTCTGAAGCGACGTCTTGACCTTAGGCACAAACCAGCTTGATATCAAAGCTCGGGAAAATGCGCATTCATATTGATCACGAGATTGCAATGATGGCGGTAATTGCAACGATAAAGCCTAAAAAGGCAGTGGGAGGAGT